TGAAGCAGTGATCAGCCCAGGAGATGTGGCTGTTGAATAAATCCACAGGTTTAGGATCACAAAATCCCAGAATTGGGTGGGAAGGGACCCCAAAATCCATCCAGTGTCACCCCAGCCATGGCAATGTCACCTCCCTCTGTCCCTGGGGGCTCCAAACCCCTCCAGCCTGGCCTGGGAGCAAATTCCTGTTCTTGCCATGGTGTGTTCGGTGCAGAGAAGGAAAAGGATGGGAAAGGGAGAGAAATTCCATAATTTGGTGCTGTGACTCGGAGAAAATTGTCCAGATTTAGGTTTTTGTACCCAAATTTGTGCTCCTGGGAGAGAGGAGTGTGCAGGGTTTATCCAGGGAATTGAGGACCATAAATTGGGCAACTCTTGATCCAATTTCTGCTCTCTCTGCTGTGTCTGGATTCCAGCAGGATGGAGAATAAACATTTCTGATTCACTCCAATCCCAGAACCATCCCTAATTTTCTGATGGGGTTTTTATGGATCATCCCAAATCCCCCTCTCCAAACTGATGGATTCAGGGGAGCTGGAGCAGGGGCTGTGCTTTAGGAATAGGATGGGAAAGAGAGAGAAATTCCATAATTTGGCACTGTGATTCAGAGAAAATTGTCCAGATTTAGGTTTTTGTACCCAAATTACTGAGAGAGGAGTGTGCAGGGTTTATCCAGGGGGATGAGGATCATAAATTGGGCAACTCTTGATCCCATTTCTGCTCCCTCTGCTGTGTCTGGATTCCAGCAAGATGGAGAATAAACATTTCTGATTCACTCCAATCCCAGATCCATCCCTAATTTTCTGATGGGGTTTTTGTGGATCATCCCAAATCCCCCTCTCCACACTGATGGATTCAGGGGAGCTGGAGCAGGGGCTGTGCTTTAGGAATAGGATGGGAAAGTGAGAGAAATTCCATAATTTGGCACTGTGACCAAGAGAAAATTGTCCAGATTTAGCATTTTGTACCCAAATCCCTGCTCCTGGGCTTATCCAGGGAATTGAGGACCATAAATTGGGCAACTCTTGATCCCATTTCTGCTCCCTCTGCCATGCCTGGATTGCAGCAGAGAATAAACCTTTCATTCCTAATTTGCACCAATCCCAGATCCATCCCTAATTTCCTGATGGGGTTTTTTTTGAACATCCCAAATCCCCCTCTCCAAATGATGGATTCAGGGGAGATGGAGCAGGGGCTGTGCTCTAGGAATAGGACAGGAAAGTGAGAGAAATTCCATAATTTGGTGCTGTAACCAAGAGAAAATTGTCCAGATTTAGGATTTTATACCCAAATTTGTGCTCCTGGGAGGGAGGAGGGTCCAGGGTTTATCCAGGGAGTTGAGGACCATAAATTGGGCAACTCTTGATCCAATTTCTGCTCTCTGCCTGGATTCCAGCAGGACAGACAATAAACTTTTCATTCCTAATTTACACCAATCCCAGATCCATCCCTAATTTTCTGATTGGGTTTTTTTTGAACATCCCAAATCCTCCTCTCCAAACTGATGGATTCAGGGGAGCTGGAGCAGGGGCTGTGCTTTAGGAATAGGATGGGAAAGAGAGAGAAATTCTGTAATTTGGCACCGTGACTCAGAGAAAATTGTCCAGATTTAGGTTTTTATACCCAAATTTGTGCTCCTTGGAAGGAGGAGGGTCCAGGGACTGTGCAGGGTTTATCAGGAGGTTGAGGACCATAAATTGGGCAACTCTTGATCCCATTTCTGCTCTCTCTGCTGTGCCTGGATTCCAGCAGGATGGAGAATAAACCTTTCATTCCTAATTTACACCAATCCCAGATCCATCCCTAAATTTCTGATGGGGTTTTTTTTTGAACATCCCAAATCCCCCTCTCCAAATGATGAATTCAGGGGGCTGTGCCCATCCTGCCTCGTTAACAAA